GTTATACGAATTGGCCTAACCGGCTCAACACGTTAGACGTGTGAGTGCTGAAATTATCCTTCTATTATATAAAGCGCTAACTTTGTGTGTCGGTTTGTGTATCTGTATGTGTGTGTGTGCGTGTGTGTGTGTGTGTATGTATGTATGTGTGTCCGTCCGCAAAATGAAGTGAGTGAGAAGGAAGCTCATGGGATAAACAAACCGCTAACAAATCGGGTAGCTTACAGGATTTGAGATATCAATGTTTTGTAGCAGGATAGTTGTGATAACACTCTTAGGGCTATATAAACACCTGCTTAGCACACTTCCGTTCATTCCACATGGTGCTGCAGTGGCAGCTGGAGGGCAGTGGAGAGAGGAAGGGAGGATGAGGAAGGGAAGCGAAAAATCTACCGTCATATCATGATTGTGTCCCTTCTACTGTATGAAACACCATTGTGTTGCATACGCGTCACTTCCAGGAGGTGTTGGTGTCACAGGAGGAAGGGACCATAGCGGAGGATAGAAAGCTTGCGCAGGAAAGGAAGGTCCCGGCGGTTGACGGGGGACTAATCTGGTGTAGATATTATAGCTATAGCGCTAGTATAGTACGTATACCATGAAAAGCTGAGTTGGAATGAAATGGTGCCCCGGTAGCGTAACTGGTAGCGCACTTGCCCGGAAAGCGAGAGGTGCGGGTTCTAGTCCCGCCTGGGGCGAAAGTTTTGTTCACAAACCCAGCATTCTTGTGAAACATTGCTCTCGTTATTCCTAAGTGACAATCCACCACAACTTTGTATACGGTGTTTCATTTGCCCTCTATTTCAGAAAACTAAAAGCGCGTCGAGTGCAGACCACACACCACAAGTGACGACGGCCTCCAAGTAAATCTGGTTAAGTGGTTCATAGTGATAGCTGATTTTTGGTAAATGAGTTGTAATTAGTGACAACTGATAGAATACAACTGCAACAGGCTAATCATTTCATTGGCAGAAAACATTTACATTGTGAAGGCCGTCGTCACTTGTGGTGTGTGGTCTGCACTCGACGCGCTTCTGGTTTTTGAAGGGAGGATATGTTTGATGAGACTGCTTTATTGTTTTCAGTTTTTCTTATTAACATGATAGCAGAAAAAACCGCTTTTGGACTTCGAAAAAGGGCAATTCGTCGTAAAAGCAAACAACGAAGAACCGTCAATCAGACAGATTAGGAGGAAACCGGGACCAATCACGTGGTGGGTAATGATGGATTTCCAAAAGAGCAATGCAACGTTTGGAACTGCAAGGATTTTCGAATGTCTTTCTTTAGCTTTCGGATTAGAATAAACACCATGTTGTTAGAAAACATTTTTTTCGATAGGCAACACCAGCATTGTTTATCAAGTTTGCTATTTCCATTTTCTGCCAGAGGATGTTTAAAAGGTCTTACCAAGTCAGATGAGAAACTAGGTTTTGATGAAGATTTGGTTCTCGACGAAATCGTATTAAATTTGAAGTATCTAATGAATTGCAGGAGCCAGTTGATGTCAAACTAATTGCTAAATGAACCATGAAAAAAAAAACACTCATGAGAAGGACGAGAAGCTGGGCGGGATTCGGCCTCGATGGAGATTTTGAAGGTTACCTCATTTGGAATCCCATAGACTTTGAGGCGTATTGCTGCTAGCCAGTGGCGTTTTCAGGGCACCGATGTTGGCGGTTCTAGTCGACACTGCCGATCTCTCATCAACGTCTCTCAACTGTTCTGAAGCGAAATTGACATCTTGTCGTCAGTACTTCTTACCGATGCACGCCACGCCCACTGTGGGCGGCGCCCCGCCCGAGACATGGTTCACCCTCCCATATTTGAACGGGTCTCTTCAGGCGGATCACTAGGAAGTCTGGAATGTGACAGACACTGTGACAGACAGACGAAGCGGATTATAGTAAGTAAGACACCCACTGCGGTGATTACCTTCACGTGCAGCGATTGGCTACCCCAGCTGCTGGTCTCTCGCCATCGGACTATAGCCGCGTAAGTAAAGATGCAGAGCAGAGCATTACGTGACGATGTCGGAACCGATGACACTCGTCCAACAGCAAAATCACCAGGGAAAAGAAGGGTTTCATTTCCCGCGTTTAGAGCAGTTAACCTTAGTTTGTTCTCTAATGCTGCATCTATCAGCAGCTCCATTTTTATCTTAGCTGGCGATCAATTATCGTATCATCTGCCTTCAGCAGCTAGGCAGGGTATGGCCCCTCCCGCGATGTGATCCTTCTTCTCTTTCTTCGAAATTTTTCGATCACTAGGAAGTTTAACTCAAGGTCAGGAAAGCATCAATCTTCACGAAAAACCATAGTTGACGGGCTTTCCAGCTCATCTTCCATTATTTTTTGTTTAGCTGCGATACTTGTAAACAAACTGGACAGTGTTTTCATGTCATTCTTCCCCCTTTTGGCAAGATCATCAAACACTCTCGACTGTCCCGCTCTTACTCGCTGAACAAAATGTTTTATTGCGAAAATAGCAAGGAGAAGGAGACGCTATTAGTGAAATGTTAGCAGTAACTGGTGTTACGATTAATTTTGTAGGTACACCGTATCCACTGCCTTCGGTGTATAGAACTTTCTTAAAAAAAAAAACAGAAGCCGGTGAGACGTCATGAATCAAACTTTTACGAGTTTGCCGAAATAAACCGATGGCGTTATATCGGCCTACGTTGTGTACTTAGTTAAAGGCAGCGATTACGGTAAAGAGGGAGCGCATCGGTGAAGCATGTAGAGCACACGAATCAGTTACTTGGCTGCCCTGGGTGGGCGCGGTGTAGCGCCTTTCACGACGAACCCATGCCTGTGCTGACGAAGGACTTGAAGGCACTCCGTCACCAAATCCCAGCGAGCCGCCACTGGTTTAATTGGTCGAGGTCTTGCCCGACTGGAGGCATGCGAACGGAATGCTGTACGCAACGTACTGCGATGAACTCGTTCATTTGTCCACTTTCTGAGCTGTTACCTGTTCGTGAGTTGAAAGTAACGGCCAAAGAACCGGGTCCCGTTTTGCGTTATCTTGACGAATTTTTCCGCTTTTTCGCTACTCGCGTACTACCGAGCATCGAAAGTCTCCCATAAACCCTTCTTAAATCTATCGTAATCGCTGATTTTAACGAGGAAGTCAGTGGTGCACGAAGGAAGAAAAACCGAGAAAAATTGCCAAGAACCTAGGAAATAGGCCCTTCCTGCTCATCAGTTTACGCGTTGATGCGCCTCTCATCGGGTGCTGCCCTTTTCAACGCTAACGGGCTTTTCTGTTTGAACGCTAGAGACTAAGACACGGAACCGACGTGAGAAAGGAGGGGGAGTCGTAAGTGGCCAACGGCTTTCTTTATCGGTAGAATTGTTCAATTTATGTTGATGTTAGGGTGTCTTCAGAAAATAAAAAGCACCAGAGCTGGGCCGATGTGAAGAACGCTGAGAATGCTTGTTCTGGGGCAATGAGAGACTGAACACGGAGGAGAGAGGATATGAGAGAGAACACAACGGATGAGAGGTCGCAGACAGCAGAATCTGCGTACAAGAGAAAATGAAAGCGGTTGAATCGAGTTTACGCTGTTCCAAACCCGCGCATCGAAGTGTGTTAAGAAACATGTACCGTAATATGTGTGCGGGGCCAAGGTCACACATTGAGCAACGAGCAGCAAGTTTAATGCTAATGAGGTTAAAAGAGTGAAGTGTTAGTTACTGTAAGGAGCAGCCTACTTCGTCGAGCTCCATATGTTGAAAATGACTTTTTTGTCTAGAAAGCATCAAAATACTGCAGACAGATCCTCATGATAAGGGTCGTTATTGCAAATCCTCCACTAAAATGATATCTAGACGGAATTTCGTTCGAAACCGGATTCATATGGATAGGTTCATTTATTGCCAGTATTGACCCTGAGGAGGGGTGCACATTGTAAGATGGGGAAAAAGCCGGTCAAAGGTTGGTTTACTCGATGCAGTTAGGTATTTCATTTGAAGTGATTCCAGCATCTTCCATCCGGACATTCATTTTTTGAATTATCGGCCTTATCGCCAACTCTACTGAGTGCCTGTTTTTTTAGAACCCTCAACTCCCAAGTCTTGCATGAGAGATAGCTCCAGCTCGTACTTTGTGAGAGGCTGTGACGTAAGAATCTCTGTGGTTTTTTTTTCCCCTTTATCAGAAATCATAGATCTCCGGAAACTAAACTTACAAAATCCTGCGGCCAGCTTTTTTCCAGGTGTCCGATTCTCAAAGTATGTCAAGATCCGAGTACCGCTCGAGCAGCAGCGGATCAAATGCGACCACAAGGGGAACTGATCAAGAGGAGTGAATCAGTTGTTCGTGATCCCTCAACCTATCAAGATGTTACCTTGTTTTTATTGGATAACTGCTGTTTTACGCCGCAGTTCGCGTTGCGAAAGTTATCACAAGAATGCTGAGTTGTGGGCAAAACTTTCGCCCCAGCCGGGATTCGTACCCGGATCTCTTGCTTTCCGGGCAATTGTGCTACCAGTTACACCACCGGGCACCATTTCCGCCTTTCGGTAAATTTACGATAGCTCATCAGCATTCACACGAACAACACTATGAGCCCACTAGCCGATAACGGCAGTAAACCGCAAGGGTTTCGCACAATTGCCGGAAAGCAAAGATCCGGGTACGAATCCCGGCTGGGTCGACAGTTTTGCCCTTAACTCAGCAATCACGTAAAGTTACATGTGTTTCTACGAGTTAGCTGTTTTTGGAATTATGTCAAGTGGTCCAAGTTTTTGCAGTCGCCCAGCACTACAAAAGCTTCGGAGCCCCGCTCACATGGAGGTTCGGACGTAAAATCGGAAACGAAAAGTGGAAGCACATCAACGGTATGTGGGACTTCTTTCATTTGAAACTATTGGCGTCAATTCCGCCCTGTGGCATGATCGGGGGAGGGGAGGGAACGACTTCCGAGCAGGGTCAGTCCTATCGTTGTTACTTTTTCAAAAAATTTTTACGACCCCCCTCCCCCAAGGTGGACTTGGTACGACCCCCTTTTCGACCCTCGACCACCATATTCCTCTCTATAGTATTTAATTCTGGTACCACTCAACCCACCAAACTCCGCCCACTTTTTCCTCCAAAAATGCCGTCGAGGGGGGGGTATATACCCACTCTGAAACAGTAAAAATTACCAAATTCCTTAAATTTCAGCCTTTACCTATAATCCCACTGCTTCATTTTCTACAGGGGCGGGGGTCAATCAAGTACGACCCCCCCCCGTTGTTACTAGTAACAACGTAGGGTTGACCCTGGTCAAGAGTTGCCTCCTTTAGACGAGGCCTAGGAGGAGAGGAAACGTCGGGAAAATGGTTCGCGCATCCTGGAGTTTCCACCCCGTTAAGGCGCTAGCACCCGTAAGGCCTAGGCCCAAAACTGATCAGAACCACAATGTAACCACAATGTATTTTTAAGGGTTGCGGCCTCAGTGCCCCCCCCCTACACTTTTCACCGTAATACGGTAGCGGTAACATGTTTACAGCAATATGTAGTATGTAGAAGTCCCCATTTCCGACTTTGATCACTATTTCTGGGACCACTATCGTAATTGTCATGGTTGGCAATCACGTTCCTCAGCTAAGACCGTGTTCACACCTGGTATTCTGGGAGAGCAGAGAAAGCGGATTAAATTTATTGGGTTGCCTCATAATTCCTGGCCGATTTTGGTTCAAATTCAGTTTTCTTTATGTCAAATCAGCTTTATAACGAAATCACTTTCACTTCATTATATAAACCAGAACTTTGGTGTGTCGGTTTGTCGGTGTGTGTGTGTGTGTCGTTCTGTCCGTCCGGACCAACCGCTCACAAAACCAGGGAGTACGAAGGGCAACACTTCGTGATGTTGATGTCATGATCATGATAACACCCACAGCGGCTATATAAACACCGATCGAGCACACTCAGTCTCATTCTACATGGTGCTGCCGTGGCAGCGGGGAGAGGGGGGTAGAAGGGAGGGAGAGGGAAGGGGAGGGCAGGAAGGGGGAGAGGGGAGGGGAGAGGGGGAGGAAGAGGGAGGGAAGGAGGGGAGAGGAGAAAAGAGAGGGAGGACATGGTGCTGCCGTGGCAGCCGGAGGGGCAAGAGGAGAGGTAGAGAGGTGGGGGTGGGAGAGGATGCAGGGAAGGAGAACAACCGCTTTCAAGAGGGAGGGCTATATCCGTGTTGACGTATTACTCTGACGTGAATAGCGGAAGACGTGAAGCTTACGCAGGAAAGCAAAAGTCCTGGCGGTTGACGGGGGACCAATCTGATAAGTTAATATGTTAAAGAACACATCAGGACCTTCAGCCAGGATGTGTCATGAGCTCAAACACGCAACGGGATAACTAAATTCAATCGACCGAACCCAGCGTTATGTATTACGACCATTCTAAGAAGAACCGTGCGAGGAAGGCAAGGTCAGCGATACGTTTGCTCCAGTCTTTGCTAGTGATCTGGCACTGAGCTCTTGGCTCAATAACCTGGGTAAATACGATTGGAGCTGCAAAGTTCGACCTCATCATGGATCTCAGTCACTCTCATAAGGTCCCCTTTCAGTTTTTGGATCCCCGGACGCCATCTATTCGTCATATATATTCATGCATTATTGTTATCAAGTAACCGTCTACTTTGCAGGCCTCCAGAAGCACAAACGCGTCAACGTCCGGTTCTCGCTCGCAGAGCAGCGCGAAGGTAAGGCCGATGTCATAGTTTGCGAATTAAGCGATTCGCTAGCGAACGCTGGATCCGAGCGTTGCGCCAGCGAATCGAACGTCTGCGCACCAGCGAATCGAACTTTGCGCCAGCGAGTCGAACGATGTACCAGCGAGTCGAGCTACTGTGGAAAGTGGCGGACCCACGTTTTGATAAATCCTAAGGACAATGCGCGAGCCTTCCTTTCAAGCGTTGGTCACTTTCAAATGCAGAGTTGAGGCCGCTGGTACATATCGTTGTTTCACAATTTCTATAGAATTCCCCTCGCCGACCGGCGTCAGGGTCGTTGTTTGTATTCATTTTGGGCCAGGAGAGAATGGCTGTGCCCTGAGCATACCGCTGAAAGGGGCTAGCGAATCCGGAGGGGGGGGGCAAAAAAAAGAGTCACTTCTCTCCACATTCAAAACACGCAATTAATCTCGAACTGCGAACCAAATCAAATGAGCCCAATTGCATATTAAAGAGCACATTCAAGTCTATCAAAAGTTACATGACAGCCTTCTACACTGACGACATCAGAAGATTTTCCCACGGAAACATGGTTCACGGTACGAGCTCAACGAGGTCGTCGAGGTACCATAGACCATTACGACGTCCCTGAAACGCTGGTCAAAAGCGGTCTTGCACAGTCACAGCTAGTGTCTCTGGGAAGCTATTCACCGCTTAACCGATTGAAGAAATTATGTTGCAGCTTCAGGCCGGAGCGATTACGGTAAGCCTCGTTGAGCTTGACGGCGACGGCAGATGACGTCATATTCTGAAGACCGTGAGGGCAGTGAAGGAGGGGCTGCTTCTGCTTATGGGGGGACACTAAGGAATATTCTGCCGTAAAACATTCATTAACAACGGCATCCTGTGCGAAGAAAAATTTGATGATGTGCGCCATGGGCAAAGTGACTCTTTTTTTGCCCCCCCCCCCTGTATAGGGCTTCGTATACACCACTTAGTAGTACCGCCAAAATCTCTTGAGGAATCCAAAGCCACCTTTGTGATGCTAATGTGGGATCGGTAGGGGGTCAACTACAGAATAGGAAGTGGGAAAGTCACACATGGTGTGCATGGAATTCAAGATAATACGATGCATAAACATATATTAAAACTACTCATAGCAAAACTTAAGAACACTGAACGTAGTCCCTTGCTCATGAGCTCCTTGCTGGTGCTAACTTAGTTGGGGGGGGGGGGGGCACGCGGCGGCGCGGCAGTCTGCTCGCCTGGCATGTTCGGAAATCCGTGGGCCAGGGGGAGTGTAGGCAGTCTAGGGGGGTGGGGGGGGGGGCAGTCACTTGACATGCGTGAAAAGCTGGAATGTTCGAGTTTACACTGTCTCGCTCGAGAGAGCCCAGGTGAGCAGACTGCCGCGCCGCCGCGTGCCCCCCCCCCCAACTAAGTTAGCACCCTTCTCTGCTGTACCTACAACAGACAAGAAATGAAAAGAGAAATAGAAGGAGTAGGAAATAGGAAAGTGAAAAGAAAAGTAATAAAAGAAAAGTTTTTGGGATGTGATCAATACTACAATACTATACATACTAAAGCTCATGGCAGTCCTTTGTTGTCACACTTGGTTCATATATTCGTTTTTCTTTGATTCGGCGGAATAGTCCGCTTGTGACGTTTTACATGAAGTTGTAAAAGATAAAAGTGATGTGGAGGCAAGGTACAGGTAACGGGCCGGGCCACCAAAACCACTCATTGGATTAGGGCGAATAACGCTCGAGGAATCCTCGATCATGGTTCTGTATGGGCGAGAGTAGTGCCCAGGATAAATGTAGCAAGGTGAGCACAGACGGCTCGCCACGTGCGGAAAGAGCGCCGATCTAGGCTAACCGAAAATCCTCGACGAGCTGTCCGACTGATTCTCGGACGCGTTTTTTACAGGCCCTGAGTGATACAGTGATGGCCACCGCTCAGAAGAGAGGGGGCGGTTTGCACTACATCGCAAGTGACTCGCAATCCTTATTCATCGCAGAGGGAGGAAGCTCCCAGGTGTATGGAAAAATTTTGCATATGCAAGACGGGCACTAAGTATTCCCATGGGCAGCAAGCATGTATCAAAATGGAAGTATTTTTAGTGGGTTTTAAAGCCACTTTCGGATTGGCCGTGTTTTACTATGCTAAAAGCGGCAATGAGATGTGAATGTGTAGCGCCCGCAGTGAACATAACACTGAGGAAGAACATCCTTAAAGGCACAACCCAGGCAGAGGTTCGTGTGAACTCTTCTCTTCGGTCAGAAGTATAGAACCCTAGGGGACAATCACAAATGTGGCGTTCACGTGCACGGAATTCGACCGACAAGAACGCTTTGGGCTTGCAAAGTAAGCTGCTCGAGCTGCAGCGAACGAGCTCTCTTATCAGGCCGTTGTCTGGTGCTCTCTCATCTGATGCGCTCTCTCGCCCCATACTCTCCTCTTCGCGCTTAGTCTCTCGTTCCTTTAGCACAGCCAATTAGGAAGGTGAGTGAGCCCTCAACCTGAGCGTTTTCGACGGATTCTTTTCCTTTTTTCTTCACTGCCGGCCCACTTGGCACCGATACATTCACATTCGTGTGCAAGAGCCACACCAGTGCGATCCTGGGGCATGCCTTTAAGTCCCGTACAACTGAAGTCCTTCTGCCGTCAGTTAACCAGAGCTTTCAGCCAATCGCTCGAACAGATCGCTCTTTTCATACGTGTTGTGGCCACTTTGGCCTTTCTGCGCCCCTGCACTGGTATGCGCACCTTTTGTCCTACTAAATGTCAATATAATGTAATTCATATATAATTAACTAATTAAATAATGCTGTATTTCAAACTGAAGTTTCTGCGCCTATTATTTAAAGTAGTCAACTTCTTAACAGGTATCCAGTCCTCGAAAATTGTCAACGTCAGAGTCTCGTTCGCGTAGCGGGGCGAACGTAAGCTTGGAGAAGAAGCGCAGCGATGGGTCAGCGGTACGTAAAGCTGGTACTTCTGTATTTGTTGAACGGCAATTTTGTTCAGCAAAACTGAAGTTTTTCAGACACCATCCGTCAGTAGCATAGGGTCTAAAGAAAGAAGTAAGGTACTGCTGGATTGCTGTCTCGTCACCTTCCTAATGAGTCCAGTTAGTACAGTTTTTCTTAGGCAAAAGACGTTGCACAAGAAGGAAAGCGAGTGATTTGGCGAGATATTTACGCAGAAGTCATTCCGAAAACTTCGTGTTTCCGATGGAAACAGAAAGAGACTACTGAAGCCAAGTTGGTGCTAAATCAAGGTCAATATAATCACCTTCAAAGTCTTTCAAATCTCAGTTAGCATAAGCGAAGGAAGCAGCACCCAGCCCTCCTGTGTTCAGTAGAACTTTCATAAAGTCTGTCGCCGGAGGTTTTCCGTTCAAGTTCCAACAAAAGATGTGCTATTGGTATAAATATCCTTCTTTTTTAGTTTCTGGTTACGCTGAACCGGGACATTTGACCTATATAATGGGAGCAAGGTGAGTAGTTTGTACTAGCAGTGACTCAAACGGCATCATTTACTCAACCATATGTCCTTCGAATCTTGTTCAAAGGCACGCTCGAAAATGACATTCATTTTTAGCGGTGGCGCATCTGGTGCCAGTTGGCGTCACCTTGTCACGACCCTTGTTTTCACCAAAATCGGTGTAAACTTCTGTATAGGGGTTATTTGGTGCCCTGATTACGAATATGACATTCGTTTTTGGCATTAACGTTGTTCGACACATATTCCCGATCTATGCAGTGGGAGGGCGCAGACGAGCAGAAAATAGGCGTCAAATGACGCTGGCGCCAGGTGGCGCCACCGCTAAAAATGAATGTCATTTTCGTAATCAGGACATCGAATTACCCTATGGCAAAGTTACGGTAGTCTGTAGGTGTACGCAAGTACACTGCACGAGCGGAGGTGTTTTTACGTGAAATCGGCTAGGGCTTATCTACCGGAAATTAGGGTAGGTGGATCAAACTGTCCGAAGGGTGGGATAGAGCCGTCTACGGATTAGCGAATTTTGCAGCAAAGTGATCATGATGCGTGCCTTTAGAGCAAGACCCCAGTCGAAGCCGTGTCGAAGAATCTGTTAGTGGGGGGGGGAGGGGAGGGGAGGGAGAGAGTAGTCTAGGAGTAGCACAGATATGCCGTTTTCGCGACTCGAGGGAGTACGACAATGACGCTAGGCTCTCACAAAGACAGCATTTAACGACCGATCTCAGCAGGACGAGTTACAGTCATACGAAGAGTAGCGCACACCTCATGATACGCAGCGTGATTACGCGTAGCGGCTATTTCAAATACGCGCGGGTTAGTTGAGCCATGGAGCAGGCAAGTTCGTACAACTCGTCCGGCCCCGCCCCTTTTTCAAGGGGAATTTTGTTTGGGCTTCATCGACGGTTTTCTTTTCTTCTTTTTTCATTCCAAGCTAATTCGGCATCTAAACTCCATTATTTTGACTTTATCGAAATGAGTAACTGATTACAGTGGATCCGGCAAGACGACTCTTCTCAATATCCTGACTCAAAGACGAAACGACGGACTTCGAGTTTACGGCGACATTGCAATCAACGAGTAAATTAAAAACATATCAACTTAGTTCAATCAAATTTCAAATAGAGTCATTTTCTCACCCTTTCCCTCACTTTTTGTTTCTCTGGATTGCATTCTTTGGTTCTTAATTTCCCTACATATTTTTCCGTTCAACTTTTTCACGTAATCTGATCATTTTCTTTATCTCTATATCTCTTCGTTTCTTTTTTGCTGTCTCGTCGCTTTTTTTTGCTTTGCGTCACCGGCAGAAAAAAAGCGCAACGAATTTTGCGGACCGTCCATCAGGGGCCACAAACGAATATTTTACATTTGCGTATCATTGCTCACAATTATTGCCAGAAATGGCAGACTGAGAACCAAAGAATACCGTAAAAGGTGTCGTTGGAATGGAAACAGTCGAGCTGATTCTCTAAGCCACACGGTGCCGCTGAAGAAAGCCCTTGAACCACCTCGCCAAGTTATGTTCTTATGTTCTAGCAAGGCGGCTACCTGGTTTCTATGTTCCATTTGTACTTGCCGCGTTAGTGGTGAGGTTAGTGCAACTCTGCTAATCAGCTCTATTAGTAGACTCCAGTGGGCATATTAATGGCAGAGCGCCGGTCGTTTATGGGCGCCTGAGGCGCACACAAGGCCGATGTTCGCTTCGCGACCATCGGGCAATTCGCTAGCGTCTGTGTCGCTCGCGCCGGTGGAATCACTCAATTTCCGGTGACTCACTCATAATCGCTAACGCAACCCGCGGACTGCTAGCGAATCGCGCGATCGCAAGTCTACATCGGCCATGGGCGGATGTAATATCTCTCACGGTTCTCACTCAACATTCTGCGACATCATTAACGGCAGTCTCCTATATTCGATTATCCAAATACCCGTAAGTTCACCAGCAAGAAAAGGAAACATCAACTAATAAATACACTGCCTAACCAGTAATTTTACAAAGTGTGACGCTCTTGCAAATGAAGTAAGCAATTACTTCCCGTGCTGGAAAGACTTCTACTAGAAGTCCTATTTCAGCTGCTTGGTTGAAGATGGTATATGAAGAAAATAGTGCATACGTCCAGCAAGAGGACCTCTTTATCAGCAACGTAACTGTGCAGGAGCACTTAATGTTTGCGGTATATGAATTTTTTGATAGATTTGTAAATATTCATTTTTAATTTACAGTATTCAAAATCGCCTTCTACTGTCCTATTACACAATCGGACACATCGATCCATGACTCAATCACACGTGAAACAAGACGTAAAACCAAGCGATGATAGAATCGACGGATCGAGACCAAGAGGACGACTGGCGCGGGTTATGCACTAGGAATGACGCCCTAAGAGTGCACCATATTAGGCGCCGGCGACGAGGTGTGAGCTAACAGTTTAAATTTCGTCTGTCTCTTGACAGCGCATGCCTCAGACATCTACTCTCAGTCTGCCAAGTCACGAAACAATTCCGTCTGAACTTCGTATACTGTGAACAGGCCGATTCCGGCTCGCAACATCCACGCTCTTCTATGCCTTTAAATATACTGTTATAGCAACGGCGTATAGGCAAGGCTCCGAAAAGTCCAAATGAATTATTGGTCTTTTTATGAGAAATTTTTACGAAACAATAGACGATATTCAACCGCCACCCCAGAACACCCTATAGGCCTCATTGTTAGTTTGTCAGGCTCGACTTCGAATGCATGCCAAAAAAACCGAAGATGAACGCAAGTCGATGGTCGAAGATGTTATTCAAGCGGTAGGTGCTAAAGATCACTTTTGGCAAAAGAAGGAGTCTCACAGCCACATCATACTAACACTTCAATTTCGCTTTTACAGCAGTAGAGAAGTCCTAAAACGGCCAAGCATGGGTTACATTCTCATTGTTCACTATGCCAGCACCACCAAGCCAAGACACCAATGTCCGCAATTGCTTCTAGAAGGAAAACGCATGCCCTGCTGACGATTAGCCTAATGCCACTTGTTTATCAAATGTTACAACTAATATCCCGCTGCAAAAACCACGCCTAAATAAATGGGTGACTATCCACGCAACGCCAGTAATCATGGGGTTTGCGAGAACGCAACCACACTGATTATGGCAAGTTTACATGATTGTAGTGCACTGCATAATTTAAAGGAAGCGATTACGATAAGGAATTTTTGCATCGGGGAGAACCTGCGCCACACGGAGCAATTACTTGGCTGCCAAGGAAGCAATGTGTGGCGCTTCCACGGCGAAAGGTGCTGTGGTTGCTGAGCAGGACCTCCGCAGCACTCCGCCCCCAGCAGCGTTACGCCCACAAGTTGACTTGTTGATTTTGGCGAGATCCTGAATCAGCAAGCATCGCAAAAGGATACTCGATTAAAGCGTACTTGCATGTTCCATTGAATCGTGCGGGTCCTCTTCTTGCTATACCTGTTCCCAGTAAAATCAATGGCCAAAGAAAGTCCGTTTGTGTTCTTTGACGCATTTTCGCTTTTTCGCTCTGGGTACATTGACACCACACGTCTACACCTAACTCTTTGAATTTATCGTAACCACTCACCTTTTACGCCGGACTCGCCATTAGAACAAATACCTGATAATACTCTAGGGCCCGTATCTATCTCCACCGAAGTTCATACGATCTCAAGTTTCCTTGAATATATTTTTGAACGACATGTCCTATCCAGTGCAGTATTAGTTATAATACGTAAATGTGACCGCTTCATCAGACAATCCAATTGGCGGACAGAGCAAACAAAGGAGTTTTTCGTTCGCCTAAACCATTCCGGCGGATAGATACGGCCCTGTTCTCACCATCCAACCCTCAGTGAGCAAGGTGCACCGTCATAAGGCTGAGTAGGAAAATCCCCACTTTCGGTATTCGATGAAAATGTAAATGGTAATCCCAGCGTCGTTTGAAAATGTTTGTCCTATCGATCTTTTTATATTGTAGATGAGCTTGAGCAGTTGTCGGAACACTAGAATTGGACGTGTGCTCAAAAAGAATTTGTCTGGTGGTGAACGTAAACGATTAGCTTTTGCCACAGAGGTAAGCATTCTGAAGGATCATTTGAATCATTCTGAAATTTCAATCAGCAGACTATTTTCAGATTTTAACGGACCCATCGATTTTGTTCTGCGACGAGCCAACATCTGGCCTTGATTCATACACGGCTTTACGGGTAATATTCAATATTGACAATTGCTTTCTGAACTGTGGTCAGCTACTTCACTCATCCACACGGGTCATTTTCTTGTTAAGGCCTGAATTTCGGGTCTCTATCGAAGTATTCCGACAAAATCCGATCTTAAGCCGAAAACTTCTCCAAAAACGAGAATGTTTCCTGTGGCGCCACACGGAGCAATTACTTGGCTGCCAAGGAAGCGATGTGTGGTCCTCCCACGGCGAAAGGTGCTGTGGTTGCTGAGCAGGACCCGTGTGACGCTCCGCCCCCAGTGACGTAACGCCCACTAGTTTTGTTGATGATCTGGATGGACTGTTTGCTGTTGGCTTTTCATTTTGGATGATCATTTCCCTTCTAGCGGCTGTATCTTCCAACTTGCCCACGTATTCTTATCAAAAACACTATGCTTGTTGGCATGATGGCGGCTATCGGGGTTAACACGTCCGAACAACGTCGTTCTTTACCGTCGCTCATCCATGGTCGAAAATGAAAGGGCAATCAAAGGGGTACTATTTTGCTTATTTTTGACGGATTTCTTTGCTTTTTTCGCCATTGGCGTACTATTGAGACCCCCACGTCCCCTCTAAACCCCTTTGAGATCTATCGTAATCGCTTCCTTTAAGCCGAAAACTTGTCACAAAACCAAGAAGTTACTGAAAGATTCCGTGATTGGGGTGTTCACTCATTTCTGCTGGCCCTGTTCGCCATCTGCTTACATCACATTTATAAGCCATTGTTCAGGATCAAATTCTCTCGGCCATTGTTGATCCAACTATATAATATAATTTGGCTATACAACTGATATAATTTTGCTATATGTAGCCCATGCGTTACTTAGTGATAGTTCGCGGTTTTACCCCTACAGTGCAAGCCAATACAGATCAAGGGCTAACAAATGTATCGGAAGAACACAGCAGGATACATTGGCAAAGCAAGAAGTAGCTCTGCGGGCCTCTTCGAACTCGAGGTGTATGGAACCTGGGAAGTGGGTGACGCGTCTTCCAACCATCTTCAGTCCATCACTAACGTCTCAACCCTTCGAACCTTCGCCGCAGCTCTAGTGTCTTCTCTTCAACCTCGCCGTCCGCCTCGGCCTCCTGTAATCAGTTCACATCATCGGAGTTGCCATTTGCTCACAGTATGGGGTCCACCAAACAGTCCCACGACGAAGCCCGACTACCATATGTATGTCGTCCAAGATTTGTTAAACTTTATTCAGCGATCGCTCTTCAATTTCACAACCAAGGATTTCGGTTCAGGATATCATCCAGCGTTTTGGTGTACACCAGAGCGTCATCTTTAGATCCGTTTTGCGGTTCAAGGATTTAAAAATTAAATATGATCAATCTGGGCGAAGCCGAGGTGTTGATCTGACCACTACAAGTAATATAAGAGAGAATTAATACAGGTAATCGGCGCCAGGTTGGCCTCCGGAAGTGAATCCTATACGTCTGTTACAGCGTATGGATTTTGCGGTCGAAGGCTTTTTTGAACCTTACCAAACGACTAATTGAAGAACGCTTACCAGAACTCACGGAGCTAGTTCACCCCGATACACCTGTATACCACATCCGATGCTGAAGGCAAGCTCCGCGCTTAGCCCCACTGGAGTTGTCGCTACCTTAGATAGAAGGGTCTGGTCCGGCACTTCAAGAAAAGCTAGGCGCTGAGGACTTCTAACAGACTCCACCAAACATAACATGGTCCGCCCACCGTTCGATATCTTGTCTGCGTCGCTAACGTTGATCTGCTATGCTCTCTCTCTCGGACTTCTCTACCGCTCTCCGCGCTCACATTATCTCTCATCTCCCTGCCTGTCTTTTGAACTTCTCCGCAGCGTAGAGCAAAAGGCTCGTATTTCCTGTGTATTTCACGATTTTCTTTCCTTTTTTCTCCACTGGCGGTCCACCTCCCATCCCTACTTTCACATTTGAGTGAATTACTCACCAATTTAATCCTGATTTTTGCTTTTGAAGCGAATTGTAGTAGATTTTGGTGATCTAATGCGTTTGAGCTGAAAAATAAACCGCCACAGCTCATCAAGAAACCCACTATCTGTGTTAGTATGAAGTAAAAGAGCAGGTTCTCAGTAATGCACTATTATTTATGAAAAGTACAATCTTCCGGAAAACTTTAGATTCAAGCTTGAATGTTATTAAGGTTGTTGTTGCTCTGAAAATGTTAGCATCTAAAGGGAAAACAGTTATCATCACTATCCACCAACCTTCGAGTCAAGTTTATGAGATGGCGGACAGGTGAGCGTTTTCCATTGATACGAACCATTGGTCGTCTCAATATATGGTAGTCCTGTCATTATACAGACTGATACTAATGACACATGGCCAAATTACCTATCAAGGCAGTGCATCTGAAGTTGGGAACTTTTTTAATTCGTAAGTTGCAATTAATTCACACACATTTTATATAAACATGTTGTGTGCTACAGTGCGTATCAAAAGTATAGGCGCACCCCTAAAATCGGCTCATCACCATCCGAATCAGCATGTGCAAAAACCTAGTTTACCAGCTTCCACGTGAAATGGAAAG